CCACTTTTCGGTTGTCTGTCCCCCAGGGAGGAGGTCACACACAGTTCCATGTAATCGGTTCCCTCTTTCCTACCCATTCAGTATATGCATTTTATCTCCTCATTTATGAAAAAAAAAAAAGTTTAGAAATCACTAATAGCTTCTCTAGTTCTCTGAACAATTATATCCCCAACTTACAATTGTTCCACACATACCAAAGACTAGCTAAAGCTACCCTCACTTTTCTGTTTCCTTTCAGATTTCTTTATAGTCTTCCCTGCATTAAGAAACAATAAAGTCAAAGAACTGAATAGAAAATTTCAAAAGACAGCTCAAGAAAGAAAAGTCAAACACTAAAATGGAATGTACAAAGGCCTTGAATTAGAAAACCAAACGGGAAAAACATGGTCAGCATATCTTAAATGGAAAGAAGTGACCAAAAAATCCAAGCCTTGAACTGCAATACTGAAAGATTCTATGGGCGAAATCTGAGCCATGCAAGAAGCATCAAAAGAAGATGGAAAGAATACACAGTCACTGTACCAAAAAGAACTAATTGACATTCAACCATTTCAAGAGGTAGCATATAAAGAAGAACTGGTGCAAGAAGCTCAAGCTGTACTGAGAGCATTAGCCGAAAGCATGACTCCAGGAATAGATGAAATACCAATTGAAGTGTGTCAACCAGCTAATGAAGCACACAAAGAACTCACTTGTCTATGCCAGGAAATTTGAAAGACAGTTACTTGACTGTACCCATGCCAAAGAAAGGTGGTCCCAAAGAACGTGCAAATTATAGAACTGTATCATTGATATCACATGCAAGTAAAACGTTGCTGAAGATCATCCAACAATGGTCGCAGCAGTTCACTGATAAGGAGCTGCCAGACATTCAGGCCAGATTCAGAAGACCGGGTGAAACAAGGGCTATTATTGCTGATGTCGGATGGATCATGGCTGGAAGCAGAGAATATCAGAGAGAGGTTTGTATTTTACTGACTCTGACAAGGCATTTGACTGTGTCGATCATAACAAACTATGGATAACCTTGAGAAGAATGAGATTCCAGAACACCTAGTTGTGTTCATTTGGAACTTGTCCATGAATGCAGAGACAGATGTGCTAGCAGACCAGGGGAATACTGCATGGTTTAAAATCAGGAAGGAGTTTCAAGGGTTATAGCCTCTCAACATATGTATTCAGTTTGTATGTGGAGCCAATCATCAGAGAAGTGGGCTTATATGAAGAAAAATGTGGCATCAAGATTGGAGGATGGCTTACTCACAAACTGAGATCTGCAGAAAACTCAGCTTGCTGAACGTGAGTAAACCTGAAGCACTTGCTATGAGATCAAGGATTGCAGCCTTCAGTATGGATTAAAACTCAATGCCAAGAAGATCAAAACTCTCACAATTGGACCAATAGGTAACGGCATGATAAATGGAGAATAGGTTGACCATGTCAAGATTTTGTCTTCTTTGCATGCACAAGCAATGCTCCTGGAAACAGCAGTCAAGATCATATGATGCACTGCATTGGGTAAATTTGCTACGCAAGACCTCTCTTAAAGTGTCAAAAAGCAAGGATATTACTTTGAGGACTAAGGTGCACCTGACCAAAGTCATGGTATTTTCCATTGACTCTGCCTAAGAAAGCTGGACCCTGAATAAGGAAGAGCAAATAAAAATCGATGTGTTTGCATTCTGGTGCTGGCAAAGAATACTCCAAGTACCATGGACGGCCAAAAGGACAGACACATATGTCTTGGAGTCAGTAGAGCCAGAGTCCTCCTTAGAATCAAGGATGGTGACGCTTCGTGTATTTTGGACATGCTATCAGGAGAGAACAGTCCCTGGAGAAGGACATCATGCTGGGATAAGTGGCGGGGCAGAGGAAAGAGGAAGGCTCTTAAGACGATGAAGTGACAGGGACTGCAACAATGGGCTTAAACATAAGAGGACCGGGCAGGTACTGTTCTGCTGGACACACAGGCACGATGGGTCGGAACTGACTTGACAGTACCTAACAATAACAACCAGGACAGAGCACAAGCGGAAATTCCAGAAGATGTTGGACGCCCAAACCAGTATCTCCCATACGGTATGCATTTAATGATAGTTCTAGAATTGCTTTACCTGCATATCTGATGCCAGGGTTTCGTAAGTCTCTCTCAGGCAGTGCCAGTTTTGCCGGCCAAGTGTAAGGGCTACACCAGGAAGACTATATGCACAGTGCTTAGCAATTTCAGTGTCAACAGTTTGTGCACGAGAGGGATCAGTCATAGATAAATATTGATCTAATAAAGCTTGAGGTACAACGTCCTAGTGAAGAGAAGACAATAATGCATTTTTAGCAGTTTAGATATGAATTAAGTAACCTAATTTGGAATTATATGGACTTAAGATCGAACCTCAAATACTACAGGAAAAACGATCTTAAATTTTCAAGTATATATTAACCGAAAAAGAAAAATACGCTAAAGACAATAAATGAATAACAATGAATAAGCTTTCAAAACAGAAGAAAGCTTAAAGGGAAATTAGAACTAATTACTAAGTCTAAAAGATATATTAAAAAAAAAAGAAAAGATATATTTAAAATGAGACCAGCACCTTTCCGTGTTCAATGGCATTTAAGAAGGCTGATCTAATCTAGTAAATGCAGTAAAACAGCAATTCTAATGCATCATTTGCAAAATGCTTTAAAAACAAAAAAAGTCTTCTTTAGATGGAATTTATTAGTTCACAATAAACATGCATACATTTAGCCATTTGTGTAGATTATAAGGAAAAGAATATATATATACATATACACACGATTTGCTTATACATACCTAATACAGGTTTGAAAGGATATGCAAAAGAAAACTGGTTGCTTCTAAGGAAGCAAAATGGATAGTTGAGGAGGGAAAATAGTCAGTGTATGTCTTTGTGTACTTTTTGAAATTTAGAATTATGTAAACTTATGACCTATTTTTTTTAATGATATAATTAAATTCAAAGAATGAGCTAGATCTGATATACTAACTTGGAAATATATCTACAATACAAGAAGGGAAATTACTTTTTAGAATACTATAAATATTGATTCCATTGAAAACAAAAATAAACAGATTATTTAACCTAAGGATTCTACTATCTCTAGTAATATATTCCCACAAGCAAACAAAAAAGCATATATATATATATATATATATATATATGCATGATGCATATAGCACTGCTTGTTTAGAATCATCGAATAGTAAGGAACTATTCAAGTTGTTCCTCTTATAGTAGAATGCCATGGTGGTAGGAATAATTGAGAGTATTTTTATATGCAAAGCTAAAAAGAGTTCCAAGATGTGTACAAAGAAGAAAGGTAGAAATTACCATATTCGATAATTTTTATTAATGTGTACACATTTTTGCTCCTTTTAAATCTCTGAAGTTGGAATCCAATTTCGAATAGATGTACTTTACAATGGCTTTGACTCATCTTTTCATATTTTAATCTCTGAAATAGAGCTGTAGTTCACAAATTTTGGCAATTTGGACATGATACCTCTATAACATAATTCTATTTGTCTTTGAATGATACATGTTTATACATACATAAAAAACTTCTGAACAAATCCAAAAGAAACTGTAGTTACTTCTGAAGGAAGAATGGGAACACAGAGGTGGGTCAGAAGTAACACCGTCCTACGGATCACTTTGATATGGCTTTTCTTGCCAAAGTCTTCTAACTCCCACCAAGTAATTGGGTGGCTCTATGCAAATAAGATGTCACTAATAATGCAAATAAGGTGCATGGCAACCGTTGGTGTAGAATCATCCAAATAAAATTTATGGAACCCTACTAAAGGGATTGGTCAGTTTTGTCATCTTGCTAGGCTATGAATGAACCATCCTAGACATGGACAAAGTTGACAAACCAAGAGCCATGAAGCACATCCTTTGGACCAGGGTTTCTACACTGAGGACCTCCTAGAAGTAGGAGACAGAAAGCTACTAACTCCAGAAATGCCAAGAGACAGCAAGCAGCAGCAGCAGCAGCAGCAGCAGCAGCAGCACAGTGTTAGCAAAACTAGAGTTGAGTGTCTTTGGATAAAAGGTTTACTGGTGGCATGGGGTGCCTCTAGGCACTAATCAGGGGAGCTAAGGAGTTTTGTAATTCTTTCCAAGCAGGGTAGAGGTCAGGCTGGCCCCCAAGGCCTGAAGGGACGAGAGGCTGAATGTCAGGGGCATGTCTGAGAAATGTCTGAGAAATTGTCCTGACTAAAGAACTGTATTCCCGAGTCTTTTCTGATTCTGAATGGTAACAGGCTACTTTCCTATTAAGCCCCATAACTGTGAGTAGTCTGTGAATTCTCCCTGGCCGTTGCAACGGATTACGGAACCAGCAGAGAAGTAGTATGTACCATGTGAAGGATGGCGTTGGTGTCAGAATTGGTTTAAAAAAGAAATGAAAAGGTTGGACAGGTCCTCTGTGTCATATGACTCAGTCTTCAGCTAGTGATGCTTTCCTTGATTCTCCATCTCCCTTGTCAACTTGGACAGGGGGACAGATGTTGCTGCTGTACCACTATTTCAAGAACTCTTGCTTACCTAATTAGTTTTCTTATCGAACGTATAATACACCACTTTTAATGTAAAAATCCTACAAAAGTACACAATTAGGTCAGAAATTGGCTTTACAAGGGGTTTTAAGGACACATACATACACAATCATTCTTTGAAACTTACCTGCACTTTAGATTTCTTTTCCTCATCAGGGCTAAAAACACTATTGATGCTCAGGTCCGAGTCAGTATGAATATAGTGAAGAGTGCAGTCAATATTCTGTTAGAATAAAAAAAACAAAACATTTACTTAAAGAGCTGTCCTTTCTGGAAGTTTTCTTCTTTAAATAAAAGTTAACTATATCTTACGTTGTATTTGCTAAGCTATTTAATTGCTTTGAGGCCATATGATATTGTTTGTAGTTTTGCTTCCCTTAATCCAAACCAAATCCACTGCCACTGAGTCTGCTTTTACTTATAAGGGCACTAAAAGAGCAGAACTGCGCCACGGGGCTTCTGAGGGTGTAGATCTTTAGGGGAACAGACGGCTTCATCGTTCCCCTGTGGAGCAAACAGCGCATTCAAACTGCTGACCTTCAGACAGCAGCGCAACACTTAATTCATGGAGCCACCAAAGCTCACTTTTCTTGTCTGCTGATTCTGTTTTTTGGCCATTAACATTTAATGTCACAAATCTATTTTTATATAGCCAAAAGGTAAAAACAAAGCTAAACTCCAACCCAAATCAAAGCCTCTTAAAGCGAAGATACACCCTAACAATGCTGTCTCCGATGATGATAAATGGTCAGCGTTCTAGTCATCTGTATACTGGTCTACAGAGCTCTAGGAAGAACCAATGCCATCTAACGAACAACTGCACGAGAGCTAGAAGAGCCTTTTCTTCATTCCCCAACTTGTGGGTACCCATTCTTTCCTAAGCCTATCATTCACCCACTGTACTGTGTGCTCACTTGATTCCAGCAACTGGTGTGTGTATACAAGTACTGACATCAAACGATGCTTTCGCAATGGGGATGCAGTAGCAAACCAGGACGGATGACAGGACAGCCACAAGTACATATCAGAGAGGACACTAGCGACAGTACCCACCCTCACACTCCGGAGTCCAGACAATGTCACTGGCCCCTCCGCAACATGGCCTCAAGTCCCGATCTTCTGCTCAGAATACTGTGTTGCTTGCTGCAGTGAAATGGTCCGATCAGAAACAAAGCACCTCTCCAAAAAGAAAAGGGAAGAGTTAATAATTCTTGATAAAGGGCTTTGTTTCCAGTAAGACTATTTCACTGCAGTGAGCTACTACATTAACATTGAGGCTACTATGAAAGGATTGACCTTTCCAAGGATTTAAAGGACACTAATGTCATAAAGACAGGATGTGGTGACAATTACTCTTATGCATTATGGAGAACTGAAGTATCAGCCACACATATACTAACATACACAGAATAACTAAAAGTGATTAGCTATAATTATTCCTCAACAACATACTTCTTTCTGATTCAAGCTGCTGTTGCTTGATAAAACACTTTACAAAGTTTTTGTTTTTACCTCCACAGCATCGTTGATTAAAGGCACAGAATCATCTTGATTTATTTTAACATTTGGTAGCTCATTTACACCCAGTTCATCTTGCAAATCACTTCTCTTCTCTATATCAATAGTGTCCTCGTGAGCCTCCAGACAAGAGGCACGGAGTGCTGCAGACAGTACTTCCACTTGTGCTACAGTAAGCAAACAATCAAGCAAAGATACAATTCAGAATACTATATGCTTTCCTTTCTCCTCCATTTGAATGCTATGTGATCACTGATACGTATGCTTTTTTGACACTGTAACAGAACAGCTGAGAAAACAATTCTACCATGGAAAATGCTTAATTAGTCTTTCAGGAAAAAAAGATAAAAACTAATATATTTTCACCAGATTAAAAATGTTTATCCACTACTGCATATTATTTTGCGTTAGTATGAAAAGAGAAATGCTATCTAGTTTTTGGAGGTATCTCCAGTTTAATAAAAGAAGTAAATTTCAGTACAAGTTAACTATGTTTTGGTAGTGCATGAATCAAACTTACAAGACTTACTTACTAAGCTATTTTAGCAGAAGAGCAGTCACATAAATCCTGCTAACATAAAATAAGGGCAATTACAAAGATTTTTGTGACAGTTACATTTAAAAATCTTATATCTTTTTTTTATTACTCATTTTATTGGGGCTCATACAATTCATCACAATCCATATATACATCAATTGTGTAAAGCACACTTATACATTTGTTGCCCTCATCATTCAAAATCTTGTATCTTATTCCAAGTTATTTTACTTCTCTCTCTCTCTCATTTAGAGTACAGGTTGGGAAAGGCAGGGTGGGGAAATTAGTAATTGGTACCAAAGGCAGAAATGCTGAATGAACACCGTCATGTTTCTGCAGCAAAACCAAAATGACAATTTACCAAGCTATCGTTCTTAAATCTGGCAATCAACAGTGACTGTTTAAATTTGCATGTTCTTAGTAAAGGTGACCAAAAATTAAGATAAAGCATTAGCCTTTGTCCCTCAGATAAATGAGAACTTTTGCAAAAGATATTACTCAGCATCTATTTCAAGTGACAATCCACCTGGTTACTCAAAATGTAGGCATTTTAACTTCAAATTTATTTAATACAAAGATTTGTCATGATGTTTGCACTCTATTCAAGATCATATAAAAAATGATCAAGTGTATTCTATTGGCCAGTATTTTGTTAAGGATTTTTGCATCAATGTTCATTATGTGCATGTTAATTTTGTCTGGGTTGCTCTTGTTGTATAGTAGTAACTAGGAAAATATCTGGCCTATCTTTGATGTTCAATAAACATTGCTGAATGATATAATCAATCAACAGATGCTGTAAAAGATCATCATATGCACAGAACAAACCATCGGAGGTATAAGGCTGAATTTAAAGTACAATGGATTTATTAAAGTAGCTATGTTGCGTGACACAAAGTCATATCTTCAGACAAAGTTATATAGATGTAGGTCTTTTTAAAAATGCTTCTCACTCAACATACTCTTTGCTGATTTGTTCTAAAACTATTTGAAGCAGCTTATTTTATATTTCTGTTAATATTTAAAAGTTTCATAGGTCCCTGGGGATACAGTTTATGACTGGCTAGAACCCATCCGGCAGAACTGTGAAAGAAAGGCCTGGAAATAAAGTTCGTGCCAAGAAAAGTGTTGGAGAAAAAAAATACCAGTCAAGAAAAGTTCAGGAAAAAGAATGAAAACTGCCTGATGCAGTTCTACTTTGTAGCACAAGGAACTGCCATGAGTGAGAACTGACTCCACAGAAGTGATAGGTCAGAGAACTGTCAGGTAGTGCAGTAAAAAGACAGCTCTCAGAACTGGATCAAAGCCTCATTGACAATTTTCCCTCCTGATAAAAATGGGAAAAGAAAATTAAAATAAATTTGAGTCATTGTAGCTTGATTAACTTAATAAAATTTAAGTAGATAAAAAAGAAAAAACTTATTATAATAAAAAGTCGAAACATGTAAAGACATGTTGACTATTTAACTGTGAACATCCTGAGTTAGAGGTATAATTCTCTGTGCCTCAATACTCCTAATTGAGATTAGCAGAGTGCAAGGAATGGAAAAACACTTATAAAAAACAAAATATTTAGATAAAGTATCCAATTTGTCAAACAAAACAAACACCTCAGCATTTCCTATGCCACTAATTTATCATAAAAAAGCATTTTACTGGCTAAGAGTAAACTGCATTAGACTGGCCAGCCCCACTATGAGACAAGACGTCCTTCACTGACCCATAGCCCTACAGGGGACAACACTGGAGACACAGTGTGGGAATTGTGCCCGATCTGACCCCACCACACCGAGGCAAAACACTAAGAGCATGCAACAGAACAGCAAGGGGAACAGAGCAACGAAGTCCCCAGGGAATACCAAAAAGAGACTTTGGGGCCAGGGCTTGGTACCCCATCAGACTCGACCGGAAAATACCCCTAAAGGCCAACAAACAGTCTTTGAACTAACTACAGGCTTTTCTTTTTTGTTGTTGTTGTTTTTTGGTCATTGGCTTTTTGTTGTTGTTTTATTTTGTTGCTTTGTTCGGTTCTGTCTTGTTTTTGTTCATGTTATTATCTCAGCACGTCTGTCTAAATAAGATAGGCTGGATAAACAATCTGGAGGAGAAAACAAAGGGACCAACACAGCCGGGAGTACATGGGAGAGGGGGAGGTGGGGGGGGAAGGAAATGGTGTTAAGAAACCCAGGGACAAGGGAATAACAAGTGATCCAAATCTATGGTGAGGAGGGTGTAGGAGGTCTGGTAGGGCGTGACCAAGGGTAATATATTCGAGAGGAATTACTGAAACCCAAAGGAAATCTGAGCATGATAGTGGGACAAGAGGAAAGTAAAAGGAAACAGAGGAAAGAACTAGGAGGAAAAGGGCATTTATAGAGGTCTAAATAAAGGCATGTACATATGTAAATATATTTACATATGAGGATGTGGAAATAGATCTATGTGCATATATTTATAGGCTTAGTATTAAGATAGCAGATGGACATTGGGCCTCCACTCAAGTACTCCCTCAATGCAGAATACTTTTTTCTATTAAACTGGCAAACAATGAGGCGCACCTTCAGGACACAGTCGCTGAAGACAAAGTGGGTGCATAAGCAAATGTGGTGAAGAAAGCTGATGGAGGCCTGGCTATCAAAAGATAGAGCATCTAGGTTCTTAAAGACTTGAAGGTAAATAAGCGGCCATCTAGCTCAGAAGCAGCAAAGCCCACATTGAAGAAACACACCAGCCTGTGTGCTCACGAGGTGCCGAAGGGATCAGTTATCAGGCAACAAAGAACAAAAAAATCATATCATTGTGAATGAGGGGGAGTGTGGAGTGGGGCCCAAAGACCATCTGTAGGCAACTGGACATCCCCGTACAGAAGGGTCGCGAAGGGTCGTGGGGAGGAGATAAGCCAGTCAGGGTGCAGTGTAGCAACGATGAAACATACAACTTTCCTCTAGTTCCTAAATGCTTCCTCGCCCCCCTCTATCATGATCCCAATTCTACCTTAAAAATCTGGCTAGACCAGTGGACGTACACTGGTACAGATAGGAACTGGAAACACTGGGAATCCAGGACGGATGATCCTTTCAGAACCAGTAGTGAGAGTGGCGAACATGGGAGGGTAGAAGGAGGGTGGATTGGAAAGGGGGAACCAATTACAGGGATCTATATATAACCTCCTCCCTGGGGGATGGACAACAGAATAGTGGGTGAAAGGAAACGTCGGACAGTGTAAGATATGACAAAATAATAATTTATAAATTATCAAGGATTCATGAGGGAGGGTGGAGGGGTAAGGGGGGAAATGAGGAGTTGATGCCAGGGGCTTAAGTGGAAAGCAAATGTTTTAAGAATGATGAGGGCAAAGAATGTACAAATGTGCTTTACACAATTGATGTATGTATGGATTGTGATAAGAGTTGAATGAGCCCCCAATAAAATGATTTAAAAAAAAGAAGAAGGGTAAATACACATGGATTAAATAAATCCCTTTGACCTTGGACCACGGATATGAATAGCCTTGTTTACATGCAAAATGCATTAGAAAGATGACTTGTAAAGATGCATTTAGGTTAAAAATCAGTACTCTATCATTTATTCTCCCTGTGATCCATTAAAAGTTCTCATTTTCAACATTTTCTGCTTGTTTTTTCTATTGAAGCTTTTATCTGCTGTACTTTGTTAGTCTTGTTAGGTTTTGTTTGTTTTAAATGTTTTTCTAGATACAAAATTCAGGAATGGGTAAATCTCTAAGCATCAGACAGTGACTGGATTGTTAGTTCCTTGGGCTTATTATGAAGGGGAAATGAGGAGCTAATAATGATGAGTACAAGAATGAAGAAAATGTTCTAGAATGATTGTGGTGATGACTGATTATAAAACTCTTCTTGATGTCACTGAGCTATTGAATTGTGTGATATGTGCACTGTATGCCAATAAAACTTGGAAAGAAAAAGTTCACAGGCCTTACAACGTGCATTCTATAGAAAACAGACATCTTTGTCCATCGTTTAAACGATACTCCTTCCTAAGAAACACTGCACTTGTTACTATTTTATTTGAAAAAGCTAATGAATCTCAAAGCAGAATAAGTCAATTCATAAATTTTAAATTGTAAAGGAAAGTTTTAGTGTGGTGTGTGTATCAATAAATCTGTATACCCCAGTTATGAAAGCAGTGATGAATCCATTTTAAATGACATTTCCTAAAAATTGCATCAATTACACTTACATGTAAATTTAAGAATAGATAATGACTAGTCATAAGGGATTTTTAGAGAAGCATTATTTTTTCAGGGGGGAGTTCAGAAAAAAATAACACTGACTATCAATTTTGGTACAAAGAACTTACCTTTAACATCTGGATCATCGATATGGGGCTCTAGATTTTCTATCATTTCTTCAAGTTCCTTTCTGGTGGCCATGGTAATATTTGGAGAACAGGGCACAGTAACTTCAGGAGTTTCTTGTGGTCTCTCTGGACTGAGTTTATCCCCAGACTCTTGTTCAAGCTCTGTATCTATATCTATTTCAGGAAGAGGAGTCCTCCAGAAATGGAAGGAGTTGTATAATTCCTGGTCTGAGAGAACAAAATCTTGTAAACTTGTGCCCACCTCTGGCCGCAGCAGAGATTTGTAGTTACCAGGTTTTTTAGCATTCACGTTACTAGCTCCATCCTGATGCGATTCTGAGGACAAGGTACAAAGTACGGAGCTGTCCACCGGAACACTTGGTTCACCTGAAGACCTCCGAGTGATTTCCGCGCGCTCTGCCAGTGTGTCTTCCAGCTTGGTGCTGGAATTGCTGACACTGAGGTCTGAAAGCGGAGTCTCTGGCCGAGTCTCTGCATCCTCAGGGACATCTTCTCCATCACTGAGTCTTTTGTTGTTTTATTTGAAAAAGAAACAAACAAACCGTGAAAGTATAATTACTGAAAACCAAAAAAAAAGTATTGAAAAATTCTACACACGGTATTTGGACAAGGTAACTATTAAAATAAGAATAGCCACAAATTGCATAGGTTTACCTACACCACTCAAACTATTTTCTTTTCCACCAGCTGTACTGGGTTCAGAAATGCAAAGATATGTTCAGCATAAGTCTAGGTACTTGGCGTTACATATCTCACCGACTTCTCACTTCGCAACCATATTACCACTGCCATCAAGAACATTCAGACTCCTGTGGGGCAGAGTAGAACGACTTTGTGGGTTTGCAAGATTGTAGCTCTTTTACGGGGACAGAAGGCTCATCTTTCTCTCAGGGAGCACCTGATGATTCCGAACTGCTGTCCTTGTTAGCAGCCTGTAGCATAACCACTATGCCACGAGGGCTCCAACGTGCACAGGGGACAGGAGGGGTGGGTGGTGATTGTGCAGTTAGCAAACAACAACATAAACCCAAAGATGTGTTATTTATATAAAAATACAGTAATAGTGCAATCTAGCATTTATGTAATGATAAAACCTAGTGGCTATATAATAATGTCATCCTCCATTATGTAATCTGATGTGTTTATCCTCCAATTTCACTGTAATGTTGGTTTTTGCATAATGACTTAGTCTTGGAATTTAATCATGCAGATACACGAGGACTGGATGTAATTGGAAAAGACATTTACAAATCTAGAATTCTAAAATACCAAGATAAAAAACAACTAACAAAACATCGTAGAAAGATAAATTATTACAAAGCATTTTAAGATAAATACAATTTAAAATTATCTGATACTCTAATGACATTTAAGAACTGAGAAGTAAAACCTGTTTTTGTGTCAGGAAAGAAAAAACTCTACATAGGATTAGCCCAGTTCCTTGTTCACTATCCTCTTAAAGTCTCCTAAGAGTAAATAAAGGTTTTTTTCCCCCAATATACTTTTAGATACCAAGTTCTCCTAAAATGGATCAGATCTTAATTGATAAGGACTTCTGGTACAAGTCCTAAATTAAATTTCACTGACTACTGGCAGACATCATCAAAATTAAAGCAATACAATAAGATTTATTGGTTGTCTTTTCATTTCACTTAGCTCAAATTTAACAAACGTTTTGAACACATACAAATAAAAGAGATGCTAAGGATTAAACAGTGAATGATGTAGACCTTGCTCTTCAGATTATGGATACGTAGGGAAATGACTATGTACGCAGATGGTGGCCAGACAGCTAGAAGTATACGAAGGGCACAGTGTACGAGCAGAAAGAATGAGAGGACTAGTAAAAGGCTGTAGCGGAAAGGACACCTGAATTGCATTGAAAAGAACCAATAAACGAAGCTCAGAGGAAGAAGTACTTACTGAAGAAAAGAGCATTTCCAAAAGCAAGAGAGGGGACAGGTGAAGTAGATCCTGAAAACGCAAGGAGTTTGTTTGCTATGAATGCGAGTATCCTAAGGAAGCGAGAGTGAGAAAGCTCACAGGAATCATGGGATTGTGCCAAATAACTCTGGAATTTGTCTGATGAGCTACACACACACACACATACACACACACACACACACACACAGGAATTAAGGGAATTACATGATTCACTGTATTGTCCCTGAATGTCTACTTTGTATGCAGTAAAGGAAATGGGTCAAAGGGAAGATAAGCAGAAATTAGAAAATAGATTATGATACTGCTTTTATGATAGATTATAAACATCTCCAAAAGACAAAAATAAATAGTGTTTGTTCACTTATAAAGGCATTATAAAGTTAACAATGATGGGAGAATCCAGAAAGATTTTCAGGTTTATGAGAAAAGTTAACCAGATGACGATAGTAAACAGCTAAAGGTGATGAGACTGTTAATGATAGGATGAACTCAGCATGTTAAATTCTAGATGGGGGGGTGCCTATGGAACACTAGTCAGACACCAGGGAAAGAGCTAGAAATCAGTGACAGATCTGGTGGTCCATCCACTTGGAGAGGCATTTGTGAAGCAAGACAAAAGAAAGGAGAGCATGATCACTGCACAGAAGCAAAGAAGGAAATTATTTCTCCTTTGAGAAAGGATTGACAAGACTTGTGCATTTTTTGAGGGCAAGATGTTAGAAAAGATGAAGTGGAAGCACAGAAAATTGGTGGAATAACTAACAAAACAATAACTCTTAGAAGGCCTTGAGCTCAACAGCACCAGTAAACAGATTAAACAGGTGAAGAGACACCATGAAAAAACATGAAACTGGGGAAGTCAATCACAATGATCGACATATAATCTCCTCCCAGGGGAACGAACAACAGAAAAGTGGGTGAAGGGAGACAGCAATTGGTGTAAAACATGAAAAAAAGAATTTATAAATTATCAAGGGTTCATGAAGGAGGGGGGAGGGGAATGAGCTGATACCAAGGACCCAAACAGAAAGCAAATGTTTTTTAAATGATGATGGCAACATGTACAAATGTGCTCGACACAATGGAGGTATATATGGATTGCGATAAGCGCTGTAAGAGCCCCCAATAAAATGATTTTTAAAAAAATCAATCTATTCATGGGTAGCGGGGAAATAGGGCACTAACCCACCCAAGGGGAAGGTACTGTTTATATCTCCACAGGGAAAGAGGGACCAGACTTCAAGCTGGTGCTCTAAGACATGAATGCAACATACCAGTATAAAGCAGGGAACCAACAGAGAGGTCTGAGGGGCCGGCCCCAATCCCAACTGTGTGAACAGTCCCCACCCTCCTCGCAGAAGAATTCACTTCAGAGGACAGCGGTGAAGCTACAGCTCAAGGAGAGGGGCATGTCTGATCAGAGCACACAGGAGCAAATGAAGGGAGAAGAGAGAGTGGAGCACATCCTGGCCCAACAAGCCCTGAGGACCATATTGCTGCTCAGAGCAGCCAAAGCACAGAAAAGACCATAGGGTTGGCCCCACTACGAGACACGACATCCCTCAATGATCCATAGCGCTCCGAGGGACAACACTGGAGACACAGTGCAGGAAGTGCACCCGATCTGATCACCACACCACACTGAGGTGCACAGCAGAACAGCAAGGGAAGCAGAGCAACGAAGTCCCCGGGGAATACCAAAAATAGACTTTGGGACCAAAGTGTGGCACCCCAAAATACTCAACCGGAAAACACTCCTAAAGGTCAAACAGACCTTGAACTATGTACAGGCTTTTCTCTTTTTTGTCATTGGTTTTTGTGTTGTTGTTGTTTTGCTTTGCTCTGTCTTGTTTTTTGTGCATATTATTATCTCTGCAGGTCTATCTAGACAAGCTAGGCGGATAAACAATCTGGAGGAGAAAACAACAAGACGGATGGTTCCGGGGGAAATGGGAGAGGAGGAGGTGGGGGAAAGGAAGTGGTGTTAACAAACCCAGGGACAAGGGAACAACAAGTGATCTAAAATCAATGGCAAGGAGAGTGTAGGAAGAGGGTGTAGGAGGCCTGGTAGGGCTTGATGAAGGGCAATGTAACTGAGGGGAGTTACTGAAACCCAAATGAAGTCTGAACATGATAGTGGGACAAGAGAAAAGTATAAGGAAATAGAACAAGAAACTAAGAGGCAAAGGGAATTTATAGAGAGCAAAATACAGACATGTACAAATGTAAATATATTTATAAGTTTAGTATTAAGGTAGCAGATGGACATTGGGCATCTACTCAAGTACTCCGTTAATGCAAGAACACTTGGTTCTATTAAGCCGGCATTCCATGATGCTCACCTTCCCAACACGATCGCTGAAGACAAATCGGGGATATAAGTAAATATGGTGAAGAAAACTGATGGGGCCCGGCTATCAAAATATGTAGTATCCGCGGTCTTAACGGCTTGAAGATAAGCAAGCGGCCATCTAGCTGAGAAAAGCAAAGCCCACGTGGAAGAAGTGCACCAGCCTGTGTGATCACGAGGTGTTGATAGAATCAGGTATCAGACATTAAAGAACAAAAAATCCTATCATTGTGAATGAGGGGGAGTGTGAAGTGGAGACCCAAAGCCCATCTGTAGGCAATTGGACATCCCCTTACAGAAAGGTCACCGAGAGGAGGCAAGTCAGTCATGGTGCAGTATAACACCGATGAAACATACAACTTTCCTCTAGTTCTAAATGCTTCCTTCCCCCCACCATCATGATCTGTATTCTACCTTACAAATTCGGCTAGACCAGAAGATGTACACTGATCCAGAAAAGAGCTGGAAACACAGGGAATCAAGGACAGATAAATACCTCAGGATCAATAATGAGAGTAGCGATACAAGGAGGGTAAGGGGAAGGTGGGGGAGAAAGGGGAAACCGATTACAAGGATCTACATAGAATCACCTTCCTGGGGAATGGACAATAGAAAAGTGGGTGAAAGAAGACATTGGTCAGTGTAAGACATGAAAAAATAATAATTATTTATAATTTATCAAGGGTTCGGGAGGGAGGGTGAGGGGAAAACGAGGAGCTGATACCAAGGGCTCAAGTAGAAAGCAAATGTTTTGAGAATGATGATGGTAACAAATGTACAAATGTGCTTGACACAATGGATGTGTGTATGGATAGTGATGAGTTGTACGAGCCCTCGATAAAATGATTTTTTAAAAAAAATCCAATCTATTAAAAAAAACATGAAATCGAAGTAAGGATGTAGGTAAATGTGCGTGGAAAACATGGAGAAAAATTAGAGGTGGTTCTTTACATAGTGTTCCAGTTAAAGGAGATGATGGCCAGATAGTACGGTAAGTCCAAAAGTCCCCTTGGGCAGTGTATACACACTGAACACGGAGGAGGGAATACATGTTTTCACAAAATTATTATTTACTCTTACCAGGTCTCATTGTAACATTGACATTATTTTCAAGAATATTTATTTAAAAATAGGTTATTAAAAAAATTTAGAAAAAAGATAATCAGTATATATAAAAATACAGTACACAATGATAGCACTTTAGTTATTTCC